ATAATTTCCTCTGATTTCCCCCCTTAATTCTTGTCTTTTAACATAACTAGGATCAGAAGGCACATGAAGCAATCTTAAAAGGACTGAACCTTCTAGGGTTTGTGTTACGAACTGAACTCACTACTTGTTTCCTTTGTAATTTCTTTTTCTTTTCACTTGCTGCATGATCTCTCTCTCTCTCTCTCTCTATGTTCATAATGACACTGTTGTTGCATCAGCCTTGTAGTGTTTTTAACCAGAATATTAACATTTCCATAATCTTCAGTGCTGCCAGGGAGCCTGATTTACAGGAGTGGACTGCTAGGACAAGAGTCTATGACATACTGCATGAACCTGTGAGTCACAAAGATAATCCCCGATGCAAATTGATATTTACATTTCTGTTCCATCTTACCGTGCTCTTATTGGGTATTGCAGGTTAGAATTGCCATGGTTGGAAAATATACTGGACTTTCAGATTCTTACCTCTCTGTTTTGAAGGTGAGTTCTTTTGTGCCTGTTTTACCATTTTCTGGGTCATATTCTCAGTTACAAGCATTATAAGTTATACGTTATAAGTTACAAGCATGTGCATATTATTTCCAGATCTATCGTATGTTCCCTGACCACGAAAAAACTATGACCTTAGGTGGGCTTCAAACATCCAAAGATTATATGTGCATTATGCTCTTTGATGAACAGGGCTTAATCTCCATTCAACTAATTATACTGAACATAAAATCTATTAGAAGTGTTATGTTGCCTTTCCTCATTCTAGAAGAGGAAGCACCACCCACACCATGTATGATAAAAGAGTTCTGAAAGGGGTGTATTCTTTGTTTGGATTTTGTTATATTGCATTGACAGAACTTATGAGATAATCATATCCTAAGTTTTGGATTATTGTTGCAGGCTCTTTTGCATGCTTCTGTCACTTGCCGGCGGAAGCTTGTTGTAGAATGGGTTGCTGCAGGTGATCTTGAAGATGTTACTGCCAAAGAGGTCAACAAAAGTCCAACTTCTACATTGCAATCTTAAGATCCACTCACACCATCAACCCCACTCTCTTCAAAAAAAAAAAAAAGATTTCTTTTTTGACGAAGAAAAATACAATATGCTATGCTGCTTGTTACAATTTAGTATTTGTAGAATTTGATTTTTGACTACTTTTTTTCCTTGCAGGCACCTGATGTTTATAACAATGCTTGGGATCTTTTGAAGGTGATCCTAGATCTGAGATTTAAGTTGATGCTCCACTGGCTGCTGTTTTTCCTTGCTCTTTTTTTATTTATTTTCTTAATTGGCCTTCTGAGATTGTATTCAATGCAGGGATCCCATGGTGTTCTAGTTCCAGGAGGGTTTGGTGATAGAGGGGTTCAAGGAAAAATTCTTGCTGCTAAGTATGCTCGTGAGAACAAAGTTCCATTTCTGGGCATTTGTCTGGGGATGCAAATTGCTGTTATTGAATTTGCACGATCTGCTCTTGGTTTGCATGATGCAAACAGTACAGAATTTGATCCTGAAACTTCCCATCCTTGTGTCATTTTTATGCCAGAGGTATGTAGTGCTACAGTCCTGACTGTACCTGTGGAACTTTGTCAATTGTTGTTTCGTATGCTGAAGCTATTTGCTATAACTTTGTTATTGCTATAACTTTGTTTTATTTGACAGGGTTCAAAAACTCACATGGGGGGAACTATGCGTCTGGGGTCAAGGAGGACTTATTTCAAAGTTCCAAATTGCAAATCTGCAAAGTTGTAAGATTTTTTACTATTTCACATTCATGTACTTCCATCTCACTACATGACTTGATTTAGAGTATGCCACATGTATGTTTTCTTCTTAGTATTATTTTCCTAAGCACAAATTCATATTTTTATTTACTGTGAAGACTTCATTAGATGTTGATGTACACTCATGAAACAGAAAAAAGATGTCTGAATCAAACATTCTTTTTTCTTTTGCTTTAGCTCACCTGATTATTCATCTGTATCTGTGTTTAGGTACAGCAATGCCAGTTTTGTTGATGAGCGTCATCGGCATAGATATGAGGTAACTGTTTCCCATAGGCAAATATGCTAAAGTACTCTGCATGAAGAAGAAAAGTGCAATAAATCAAGCTCTTGTAACCACCAGATTCCTAAGAAATTGTTTATTTTCAAACAGGTCAATCCAAACATGGTACCACAATTTGAAAATGCTGGTCTATCATTTGTTGGCAAAGATGAAACTGGTCGGCGCATGGAGGTAAGTATATGTGAAAGCATGGCAAGTGATGTTTTCCACAAAGTTTGTATTACATTTGGTGTTAGATGGTAATGAGCATTTTACTGTTATTTTGACCAGATCATTGAACTACCGAGTCATCCATACTTTGTTGGTACTCAGTTCCATCCTGAATTCAAGTCAAGGCCAGGAAAACCTTCGGCTCTTTTCTTAGGTATTATATCCACTCATCACAACTCTGTTCATTGGCATTTAATAAAGTGTTGTTCGGCATTAGATGGATATCAATAAATTATTTGACCTTATGTTGGCTGCTCTTATCCCTGATGAGCGCCTGTACGTCTGTACTTTAGTTGATGCTAAATTTTGAAGGGTGCTGTCTGAAGGTCATTACTGCATCTGGGCTTAACAGGTTCATTAGAAATTATATAATCTAGGGAAAAAAATTATTTCCTGTCTTCACCTGTTGTTTCCTCTTTTGAGAAGATCTATTTCTGTTTTGATACCGAATATTGCTATCAACTTCCAAGGTGATGGATTAGTCACCACCATCATTTTCACCTCATTATTATTGTGCATTTGGCCTGGGCAATCTGAGCACACGGAGTCCATTCTATGCCATGCCTGGTCAAATGCATGTTTGAGCATCTTCCTACTCGGGTATTTTCTCAGTTCCTTTTTCATGTCACAGGACTTATAGCAGCAGCAAGCGGGCAGTTGGATGCTGTCTTAAAAAATTATGGTCATGAAAGTAAGCTATTGCCAAATGGAATAAGCAATGGAAAACCATCAGTGAAAACCTACCAAAACGGGAATGCCATTAAGTCTTCCAATGGATCACTAAATGGTGTTTATAGCAATGGCAATGGCGTGCACCATTAAGGAAGTGCGCTCTGATGATGGTTTCAGTTTTTGAAGGGCTTTCAATAGTCTTCGGTTTTTCTTTGTACAGCCGTTGAGTATGGGGTACATTGTTTTAGCTTTCAAGTGACCTGGCTTAGGAGAAGCTGGTGGAGTCCGAACCTTGTAACAATGAAATTTTCCAGTTTGTCAGTAAAATATGGGCTTGAGTTGCAGCATCGCCCTCTTGTTGGACCAAGTGTCCTTTTTAAGTGGGAATTTTGGCTGTTAATTTGTCTTAGAAGAAGGAATGTGTTTTCAAGTCTACCCGTCTATCATCAACATAGGAATTGATACTGGTTGCAGTGATACACCATGACAGAAGCAGGCATCACTAGTGACTACTTTTGGCAATCAATTGATTGGTTCTCTCCTCACGTATTGACCGGCCATCCTCCTCTCTTTCGGTCGCTCTTCTAACTTTGTAAGGCAATGGATGTGTAAACTTCTGTTGCTCGGAGGCATTTGCAGACATTCCATTTTCTTAAATATTTGTCTTGCATGTCGCGGACAAGTTTGATGTTTTTCAATAGTTTTCCCCCCAATGGTTGCAAAGAATGAAAGATACGGAAATTTCATACTTCTGCTGCCTTTATGCGTACGAGTATGACTTTTGCAAGGATGAATAGTAAATATACTGTCTGTTTTTATGGTTTATCCGGGTCCCAAGATATGGTCTTATTACTTTCTCACTCGAGTGAATTTGAGAGTCACACCTGTCATTGGTGTACTTGTATCATATCAACCATGTGAGGATGAGCTATTAGGATATGGCTTTATTTTACCCTAGCAATTTTTTAAATTTCATGGCAAGGTGGTTTTCCCTTTCACACATTTTGTGATAAAATAAGCTTTCTGTCTTCCAATCCTAGGCATCTGGATTTTCAAATTAATTATGATTAATCTGGTCAAGAAAATTTTTGTTTAGCTATGGTGACGAGTCATCTGGTTTAGGGATAATGGTGTGCATCTCCTCATTAAAAGCACTTGCGCGCAAGTCAATAATTTCATAATGTTGTGGTCAGCAATTTTCCTGAATAGATATTTAAGTACAATGAGTTCTTAGCAGCTGATCATACGACAATATATAGTTTTGGAAGCTATAGTTTTGCTTAATTTATTCTGTACTGCAAAATCATTTTTGTTTTGAAGTTGCGATAGGCTTCTATCAGCGGCAACCTCTGCCTTGTTACCAAGTAACACCATATAGTTTGAGACATTCCAGACCGTGTATGTTGAAGATTTTAAGAAATGTTGCATTACAATTTCAACTTCTTACTTCCGGTACAATATTTCGTTTGATGATCACATGTTATAACATGCAATAATATTCATCCAATTATGTTGCACACTGCCTGATGAGTTACTGTCGGTCACTACTGATAGGAATCATGTGGAGGGATTAGAAAACTGGGAAAAAAAAACGTTGTCTTTCATCTGTCCCAAATTATGCTGTAATTTTAAGAACTGAAATGTTGCAGTTTATCCAAGAGGATGCCTGGCGTTTAAGGCGACGTACGTATATCCACTAGGTATTAGGCTTAATCCCTTATAAGATGTAAGCATTTAGGGGTTTGTAGGAGGACCACCTTTACCATGTTATTCTGTAGGAAGACTAGCTTCTATACAACTCAAGATTTACTGTAGTTTTTTGTTTTTTACGAAGGAAAATAATGCTGCACAAAATCCTAAATGATGATAATTCTATCTATATTAATTAAAAATTTAACGATTTGCATCTTCTTATTCTATATATGTTCTAGTTTTAACATATTAGAATAGATAAGAGTCGAGGGGGGAGGGGGTTGTTTTCCATTGGTTAAAACTCATTTTCTCTGACAAAAAATGAAAAAGGCATGCAACGCAAATGGTAAAAAGAAAGAAAGAAAATAGATAAATAAAGGGGATAATCGGATGAATTAAGGATCTTGTCCTGAACCTTCTATATATACATTTTAATAATAAAAAACCAACTCATAAAATAGCAAGAACATAATTGATATGGATTCCCCATCCCTGTTATGACTAAAAATACATGCTCCCTCCAGTTTAAGAAGATAAGATGCAGCACGGTTAATGACTTGGAACGTCGCAACTCTACTTGGAAAATCTCAGAATGTCAGTCTCAAAGCCAAGGTATTGAAATGGGAATTTCTGAGTTGAAGCACCCACATGGTCAACAATTTGGGATGAAGAATTGCCTTTGTTTTGGTAGTGCTGATGATGATCCAGGTTTTGTTGAGAAGCAAGAAGCTTATCCAGAAAGGACCAATCACCATTGAACCTCCCTGCAGGCTGCACAAGTCCACAACCAGTAGATGTTAACCTCAACAAATTCTGTGAGCACTCAATGTCGTCCATGTTGTTCAAAGAGAGAGGTGATACAAATGATGGGGCAACAGCTGATTCCGGACTAAATAACTGTGGGAGATGCATGGAGCCATCAAAGGTATAGTCATCATATATTGATTGCATATGGTTTTGTTTTGGCTCCAGTGGAAGAGAAGAAGCGCTAGCCTTCATTTGAGAGAAGTGTTCTTCTTGAGAAACTTCTGGTAGGAAACCTCTAGTTTGATTCTTCTTCTTGAAAACCCTACAGACAACCCAGCCATCTTCCTGCAAAAATAGCAACCTTATATCAGTGCTCTATTTTCATTTAATTTTAACCAATAAACTTTGCAAGAATCTGAGATCACACCCATCTTGTACGTAGCATAATTAAGAAACCCCCCCTACAAAAATCATGAGCCAAGGAGGAAACCAAGATCTTTGGACAATGGTGTACCATACCTAATATTTTCATTTTTCTTGAAAAAAGAACTCTTGATCCTAGGTGGTGTATTATTTACCTGAACCTCAGAGTTGTCATCGTCCAAGCGGTACTCATGCATGATCCAATCAGTCTTTTGACCATGAGGAGCACGTCCAGTGTAGAAGACTAGGGTTTTTCTCATACCAATCCTCTGAGAGTTGCTTAGATGGATGGCCTTATCCCTTCCTGTTGCTTTCCAGAAACCTGCGGTGGTTGCCCGGTTTGTTCGAGTCCCGGTTGGATATTTCTTGTCCTTGTGGCTGAAGAAATACCACTCATTTTGAGGACCCGAACCAATCCTGCATTTGTCTGTATTTCCACAAGAAGAAATGATGATTATTGATTTGGGTTCGATGAGATCGACTTCATACTGTAATATTAAAGGTCGAACTTATTATTACCTTGTGAGCTGTATAACCCTAAACTCATAATCACGTCTAACTCACCACTAATTAAGTGAGTGGTGAGTTTTTTTTTTTTGAAAAAAACTACTCTTCCAAAAACTTAAGTTGTAAGATGAGGTTTTGATGAAGTTAATGTTTTTACATTACTTACTAACAGCCCGAACTAGCTACGTGGGGATTTTTAAGTTCAAAGTGTTGGGTTACTTCATCGGAAACATCCAATATTCATAATGCTAGAAAAGTCATAGCGTGCGTTTGTATAGAATTATTTAGGGTTCCAACTTATCACTCTAAACTGATAAGAAGAATTTCAAGATGAGCAAGAAGAAATAATCGTCTAACCTTTGAGATCCCATGGCTCAAGTTTATTGAGGTCCACCTCCCTGATAACATCCAGGTCAATGGCTTCATACGAGACCTTCTTCCTCAGATAATAGTACAGAAGCTCTTCATCTGTTGGATGGAATCTGAAACCTGGAGGAACTGATAGTTGTCCGTTTCCTGCCATCATTCTCCCTTAAATCTAGTATCTGTTGCTGTCCTGAAACTTCAAAAGCATGACAGTAATTAAGAAAAATATTCTTGTATGCGCAGAAAAGGACAGCACACCGAACATATAGAGAAAATTTTATGGTAAATAAAAATCCATAGGTTTTCTGTAAAAAAAACCTTAAAATACCTTAACCCTAGGTCAAAGATTAGGGAATATGTTCCATGATAAACCGTGGAAAATACTGAATATGTTTTTAAACATGCATGGTAGGCCGTTAGAATCACCTTAATTAGTTTGCAAGATCCATATTAAAAACAACTAAAGAAGATCCATGAATATACATATCATCATTTCTTTCAAGAAGGAATTTCTATGAACGTAGCTTCTTAAATCTTGAGAACAGTACTATTTGTTCTTCACAATACGAGAATCGGATTCCTGTCTATGATCATGGACGTAAAAGGAGCAGATCAGATCGTTGGCATTATTTTTGGTTATGCATGTAAACCCTACCTTTTATGCTAGCCATTTCTTTCTTCTTTTCATTTTACATGGCATGGAATAATTAAAGTGTTGCTTCTTTCATGACAAACCATGAAAATTTCTTTGTAGTATTAAACTGAACAGCAAGAGATAGGGTAAAAGAAAAATAAAGGCAGGATTAGCTCATTTTTCTTCTCAAACACATCACAGCTGAATTTTGACAGAAAACCACAACAAAAATCTTCCTTAAAAAGGAAAAAAGAAAAAAACTTTGCAACAAAGGAAAGGAGCAAAAAGATGAAAGATGACGGTGATAAAGGAAACAAGAAGGCAAACAAAGCAGACCTTAGCAGCTGGAAATCAAGAGCTCTGTCTGTGACAAAGGAAAGAAGACAACCTAAACAGCAAAAAGCAAGCGGCGGGGGCGGCCAAAGTCCTTAATTTACTTCAAGGGCACGGTGTGTGTATGCATTCGTGTGCCTTTTTAAGAGACTTTGAATTAGAACGATATAGAGATACAGATATGTGTGGATCGGTGCAAGTGTTAATTAAAGAAGAGTGATCACAAACCTAAGATGGGAACAGAAATAAAGGAAAAACAATAAAAAAATGGAGAGCAAGAGGGAAAATGAAGAGGGCAATGGCATGCTGGTTATGTCTTTTGTGATGAGGGTGTGATAAACCTTTGGTAAATGTCCTTTGAACGGGAGACCTTATCCCCAGAATTGCCTCATTAAAATGAAGAAAATCTGCTTAACTGTCAATTGCGAATGCCGACAGTTTTTTTAATGCATATGATCATCCCCATGTATCTATTTGTCAACAGTTGCGCACATAAATACATGCACTGAGTCAAGAGTCAGAGAAGGAGAGAGGAATGAAGAAGAATTCCCCTTCTATTCCTTTTATTCCACCTTCTATTCTTCTATTCCTGTCTGTATGTTTCCCTTATTTATTTCTCTTTTTAAAATAATGTTCTTTTAAATGATTTCTTTTTTCTTTCTTTAAAAAAAACCCTACCAGCTAGGTTTCCAAGCTGAAAACTCCCAAGAGATAAAACAAAATGTCTCCCGCAATAAATTATACGGGTCCGCTTTCGCATCTTCTTGTGTAGCCAGACATAATTATCCACATTAATCCATTAATTCTTAGACATCTTGGCATTTTGTTGCTAAATGAGGACCGCCTTTTTCTCATTGATTTGATGTGTTAGCACGTAATTAAAGATGCTAAACCATGGTTAATCAAAAAAGAGAAACGAGAAGAAAAGATGCCAAACCAGTTAGTTAATTGCTTGAAATTGGAAATTTTAATTTGTTTGCAGTTCTATATATATAAAGTTTGTTCTCAGAGTCATAGAAGACGAGGTTTTTGGCCTAAATATTTGCACTGCAGCTATGAATTAATTTCTGAAAATTGTAAAATCATACGCAGCGCATAATTAATTATAATTCGATCGGTTTTCGATGTGAAAATGAAATATATATGATAATTAGCTAACCAAACATAATTAATAACACTATTTATGACCAAAAAATTTCCATTTTTGGCTGCGTTAATAAAGACGAAAGATCACGATAAAAAGGAAAAAAAAAGAAAAAGGGAATGAGAGATAATTAAGTATGGTTATGCATCTAATCCAGACTTTGGGGAGAAAAGGAACTCTTATTCAACGTCCTGCCAAGGAAAAAGAAAGATTAAATAATAAAAAAGAATTAGGGTTTCAATATTTCTGAACAACCTCCAGTCAACTCAAGGGGATAGATTCCATGGCCCTTGAATCACGTTCAATGAAGTGTGGATTTGCATCAAATTCAGTGCAACTCTTATGGCTCGGGGTCCCTAATTATTTAGTTCTTCAAAAAATGTGAATGAATTAATTTTCTAATTATGTAATAATTAGCACTTATTTTTTGGTCTCAATCCATGGCCAGCGTGCTGTGGATTTAAGTGGACAGCTAAGAGGATTGTACTTCATTACGTGTGGATTGGTGTCCATGAATAGTATTGGATCTCCTAGCCCAGCTGCAATCAAATCCTACACGAGCTCAATATATATGACCTCTTTTTATAATTTCTACTAAGAAAAAGTCGTTTTGATATTTTATCTTGACAAGAGAGATATGTCGAAATGTATTTTTTTCATGAACAGCAGCCTCCTCTTCCTCCTCCTCCTCCTAGAAAGAGTGTTGCTTCTGCTAGTGGGGTTATAAGTAGAGTTACATTAAGGAGAGATTTAATCGTTGATGCTTTATGAAAAAGAAATAATCTCCACTGCACAGATTTATGAACCGGGAATCTATCGAGAAAAAGACACAGAGGGCAGAAAACATGAAAAAGCTTATGGCTTCAATCTGGTCAGAGCTAGACCACATTGTAAATGTAAGCCGAAAGGATTATTGATGATCATTATGTGGCTTATATGAAAGCATGTACCAATGTCAGTAGATGGTTGATGAGCTTTGCTTGTGATGAACATAGGATGTGGAAAAAATGAAGGAAATAGCAAGCAAAACCCTGAAAGTCCGTGGCATCTACACGTGCTGATCCAACACATTTTACTCAATCAAGGCCTCGGTTCCATTAACTTATTCAGATTTTCATTGAATTATTTCACTCCCCCACATGGATTCTCACGCAATCTCTCTCTTATATAATTATAATTAGCAGGACTGAAGATTTACACAAGTATGTATATACATACATATATATATATATATATATATATATATAGAGAGAGAGAGAGAGAGAGAGAGAGTAGGGATTCCTGGTCAAACACGGTGAAGAAATACACTAACCAAAATTATAATGGTTCATTATACGCACATTAATTTGCATTGCATCTGTTTTTCCACTTTCTCATAAATTTACCCAAATGGAATTTAGTGTGCCGTTGCCTTCACGAACACTACTGCACATACATAGCATTAATGTGCATGGGGGTGGCTTCATTGCAAAGGGAATCCTATGCCTAGCTAGCCATTTGCGTATGTACGACTTGCTTCAAACTCAACACTAGTCGGTATTTCTACATTTGATACCAATGCCTAGTTACCGAATTCTAATAGTGGAGGGAGCTGTGCAGTTCTTTTTTCTTATTATTGTTCAAAGGTGAGGTGATCATTGAGTTAATATTTTGCTACACAAAGACTAATTCATTGGATTAGATAAGATTTGATAGTTATGTTTTTAGATGGTATGAAATTTAAAAGCTCAAATATTATTTTTTAGCTTCCAACTTTTTGACTTCCAGATAACTTTCTAAAGTCAAAATAACTTCTGAAATCTTGCCAAATTCTCTTATTTTTTCTTGGCTCTGGAAACAAGAGCCCGTAAGCTAAACAAAAACAAAACGAACAAAAGCTCAAAGTTACCAAATATACTTTAAGTCAGTTTCTTCAATTTGATCGATAAATTAACAGACTATTCATATTGAGATTATATTAAGAAATCCATTCTCATAATTAACCACGCCTTGAAATTAATTATAGCACTTAATGAATGAGGAATATATATACTCGCTTGTCAACAAGATGAACCTCTGGACGTATGGATGCCTACATTTTGAAATCTCGTAATTTACAAGTCTTCTTAAGAAATTTGCTCCATTAAAGAGCGTTGTTGCAGCTGTAACTTCATATGTAGGCAGGGTAATTTACTGTACTTTTTTTCTCTAATCGTTATTTTTTAAATGCAAAGAAAGAGAGTGTTGGTCTCTGCTGATCAGTGTGTGACCGCCTGCGTACATGAATCAGACACAAATATTAGTTCAAGTTGCATTAACGTGTCTTGCCTCACTGTCAACAGTAGGAGAGGAACCCATTTACGCTGGAGTAGAGTAGAGGTTTGAAAGTCTTATGCCCCATGTTTTGTCTTCAGATTCAGCACAAATCACTACAGTTAGCTAGGATTGTTTAAATGCAGAAGAAAATTACTAATAAATACTTAATATTATATAGAAATGTGTTATATATATATATATAATTTAATAATATTTCAAGTTTTTATATTTTAAAAACCACTTTATAATGAGTTTATTATCAATCTCATTGAAAATATATTCCTTGATATATATCACCAAACCATTCTTTATTCATTTATTTTTGATTTTTTTTCTGTAATCTACTTTTAATAATATGCATTACAGAAAAAACTATTTTCATTATAGTAGTTGCAACTGGTAAAAATAATAATAATAATTTAATAAATATATACACCAATATGAAAAACTTTTTTCAAACTATCATTCTTTGATTTTACTAATTTTTTTATAAGATTAGCAATACCTTCAATACTAAAAAAACTCATCAGCAATGTATATATCAATAATATAAGTATCACAAGTTGGTCACTAGGTACCATAAGATTCACTATAAAGAATGCATTAAGATAAAAATAGCAAGACAAATAAGTTTTTCTTTATTAAAAATAAAGAAATAGTCATTTAGGTTTAAACATGTCACATAAAGAAATAACTCCATGCTCGTCTCTGTGAAACGATCATCCCAACTCATTAAGCTACATGTCAATAATATTGTTAAATGATTACCATGATTATACAATAATTTGCTGTTATATAAAAGTTAATTGAGCTCCACAATAATCATTAGGACATTACATGGATTTAATTTAACTATCAAACAATCTTAATTATATTTAATTCTAAAGTAACAAATACCCATTATATATATTATATATATATAGTCGGTACAAATAAATCGAGAAAGAAAAGGAAAAAAAAAGACCAACCTATCTAAAAGAAGATGCACTATGAACCAAGTCAAATATGAATTTGATCTCCAAATGTTTGCTGACTAATTTTGTGAGATTGAACACATCTTTCAATTCGTACATTGGAAAGAGCTGTAATTTTACAGGGATATACTAGACACATGAAACTATGTTTTGGTAAATATTTAGATCAAATGTAGTTCAAAAATATTTTATTTCAGATGGTCGAAGTTACCAAATAAATTTTATTAAATCTATCAAACTAGATATGTATGTACTGTTTAAAACATATATGAAGCTAGATGTGAAAATTTGTTGAGATTCAAGTTGTTTTGAAAACTAGACATTTCATGCTTTCCAACCATATATAACAGCCTAATAATTCATTAAGACGAAAGAGAATGGTATCTATGAAATCAGAACTGAAAATCTGTCAAGAATATGTGAAAATTAAAGATTTTGACTACATGAAAGAATTTTAACGTGAAAATTTTGTTTTTATTATACTATTTTTTTATTTATTTAATATTGAATAATTATTTTAAATTTAAATTTTTTTTAGTCCATTGGATATTTTTTAGAGATTTATTTTATTATTGAGGTGATGTTAATTGATTATTAGTTTAAGCTTATTAGCTTACAACCCAAAAATAATTCATTATAGTAAGTTAAAGAAGACTATATGATCTTGTTTTTAGCTGCAAATTTCACCAACAAGTTAAATAATATAAGTAAGTTTTTTGTTTTTTTATTTGTTGCAAAACAACTTTTCTTTCCAAGAACAAAGATTATACACTAACTTATTAAAAATTAACTAATTTCATAGTATTATTAATATAGTTAGAATTCTTAAATAAGGTTATCTGGTATCTTTAGATTTAATTTTTTTTCATACTTTTAATTTTTAAATACAAGGTTACCTCTGAATTAAAATTCTATTAAAT